ATGCAGCGCGTTACTTACGGGCAACGACCTAGCATTAACATTATAACGTCTATTGTCCATGTTCATGATAGATTCAACAAATTTTTACATTGGCTGTTGATGGCCTAACACAACCCTCCTCCTTTACCCGAGCTTGGGACCGGCTATAAACATAGGCGGAGTTAATGGTAGACCCCACAATGATATTAAATTAATAGCGATCGAAAAATAAGTCCTTACTTACAATTAAAAATAATATAAATAGTTTAAAATTCCTTAAAAAATAAATCAAAATAATTGAAATTATATTTATAAGTAATATCATTACATGTTTTTCATAAATTTTTTCTTTTATCCTTCGTTCATGTTAATGAGGAAAAATATATTATTATATAATTTAATAGGGATAAAGTTAGAAAGTTATTAAATTTTTAAACAAATTAATAAATTTTAAAATTTTTCTCTATTTTAGTAAAACACCTTGAATATGAATTATAAATTTGATGAGAAGAATAACATGAACATAAGCAAATTTTCCACAAAAGAGGTGACAATACATAAAGCAGCTTTGTTAAAAGTTACATGCAAATAAGACGAACATAAGCAAAATTTCCTCAAAGCAGGTGACAGTATATAAAGCAACTTTGCTTAATGTTATTTATGAATAAGACAAAGCGCATGATATGAACATGAGCAAAATTTCCACAAAGCAGGTGAAAGATCAAGAGAGAGAATGGAGAATTTCTCTACTAATGGACAAGTCTTTCTACACCGAGGACGATAGGCCTATAAATAATAAAATTGATTTCATGGGCCTATAATAATTTTTGATTGCCCACATTTCTTCCAAGAAAATCACAAACAACACACGCCTTTCGTAGAAGAGACTAACATATTGTCAGAACTAAACTGGGTATTGAATTGGTTAGAATACTAGTTTACTAAATCATGGTCAAACTATGATTCCACTGGTTTCAATTAAAATAAAAAAAATTAAAGGTATGAAAAATAAAAATATTTTATACACTATTTATTTATATTCTCATCATAAATATCAAATTTATAGTTAATTGCACCAACATTTTAAGAAAACTTTTTGTTATCAATTATAAATGATCAAAATCATCAAGTCACAATAATTGTCTAATCAAAGTATCAAACCAACATAAGTATTTATTCTTAACTAAGACTATTAATAGATTATCTTTTTTTTTTTGGGCCACCAATAGATTATCAAATATATGCTTAACACTAAAGAAAAACCAACCACAAGACAAGTAAAAGTACAACATTACGCAATTTTGGGTTATTGTTATTTTTTTTTTTAGCGAATATGGAAAAGCTGGTTGTGACCAGTTTTTTATCGATTCCGACAAGTTATTGATCGATTCACTTTTTATCAGTTTTGGACCATTGGCCAATTCTTGGGTAGAGACCCAGTTAGAGAGAAAATTAATGGTAATGATTAAAAAAAACAATAATAAATTTCATTGGCCAAACTAATTTGTTCATCAACATTCAACAAGCTCGGGTCTGACATCTACCCACGTCAAAGTGCCAGGAAAACATGAATTCAACTATACAGGATTTTTTACTAACATTATAAATTCAAGGTTGCATTAATTACTAAAATAAATGAAGAACATCTTTCGGAAATAACAAGGAATTGTGGCACATTAATAATATTATTTCTTATTAATTTATACACTAAAAATGTCACTAATAACAGAACTGGAGGTATAGTGACTATTCACATCAAACTTTGGTTCCATAAGGTAGAAGGTAATTCTGCCAAGGATGTAGTAACAATTAAGGTTGTTAAACAATAAACTGAATGCTTTAATTCAAAAATTGTGAAGTTAAATTGGATTCACTTCAATGAAAATTATGACTTTTCCTCGTACATGAAACGCAATTCAGTCAAGGTCTTTTTGTCCATTTTCTTCTGTACCATGCGATTCTCACCAAAACTACTCACTTCTTGGCATATACTTTCTACTTTAGGGCACGCTCAAGTTTCAGATCTATTGATAAGGTCAATTTATATATCGATTATAATAGGTTTTTGGCTCCCAAATTAGATAATTATGGCTAATAAGATGAAGAAAATATGAATAAATTACCTCACTGAGTGTTTTATGTGCTTTGTAGAGAAAGGGTGCCGAAAAAGATGGAAAGCACACTAAAGTACGAAGAATTACACCTTTGGTTCCGTCCGGCTGTGGATGTGGAAAAGCTGAAAATGTTGATATGTGCTTCGACCACGGGCAGAAGAAATTACAAAGGATTTGACAGCAGGTGGTTGAAAGGCTTTTTATATGCTTTGATCGTGAAAATACAATGGGCATGACCGCGGGTGAAAGAAAAATAAGAAATGCGAATCAGTTGTAGAATTAATCCTAAATTAAAACTATTAAAATAAAAGGACCAAAGAGACTTGGGCTAATGGGCTTTTAGGTTTTAGGGTACAAAAATGTTATAAGAGAAACCTTGAAGAGCCTCATTCAGAGGATCAAATCACATCTTTGAGAGTTAGGAGGTAGAGCATGGAGTCTGAAGAAGTTCTTATAAGCTAGGAGTTTTCCCTCTTTCTTTATTCCTTTGATTTTGTGTATGTCTTTTATTAAGGATTTGTGTGACTCCTCCATGAGTTATTTCTAAATCCTCAGTCAGGGTAGGGTATAGCCTAGCATGGATGGTTTTGATGCTCCTTTATTTAGTTTTATTTATTTTTCCTGTTGAATATTGAATTTCATGTATGAAATGGATATGATTAATTTTGTATTTATCTCTCTTGATTTAATTGTCTTTTTATATAGAAAGCTACTATATAAATTGTCTAGAGGTAGTTTCATGATCTGAAAGGTGAAAGACTTATGTAGACTTAGAGAGATAGATATTGATGACTAAATTTATGAATAATTTAGAGATTGGTGGTGACTTAGATCATAGCTTAATGGTTTAGTTAGAGAGTAAAATTTAGTGAGATCTAAATTTAACTCTAAGTAAATATATCCTAACACATTGAAAGGTAATTTAGAACATGTTAAAAATGATTGTCACTATAAATGAAGGGAAATAAATAACTAAATTAGAGTAAGTCATTTTAATAGGTGAATCCTAATCCCTACGCTCATTAGTTACGTTGGTTGCTACATTTTCTTTATCATTCTTGCATTCTTTATTTAATTTAATAATTCTCTCAAATAATTTACTTTTGTTATAACATTGATCGCTGCTTTCCTTTGGGTTCGAAATGAAATACTTCAGATTTATTACTATATTAATTTTGTACACTTGCATGAGCAATCATCTATCACACAAACTCTAGATTCAAGCACTAGACATGTTCGTCCTTACATATTTTAGTTTTTATTAGCTTCTGTATAAAAAAAAAAAAGATGATATACTGATTTTACCATTTGATTTTTCATTGATATGCACTTTTTTATTTCTAATTTCTTGATTTTGTCTTCAATCAAATTAAACTTATGTATTGATTTTAATATTGCTACATTATTTTATTGTATTATAATTGGTAAGTCCGCTTAATTATTGTACATGGTAGTTAGTAAAAAAAAAAAAATTGACTTGACACTGATTGACCAAGATTCTATTATATACATTTCTTTTGTAGGATAATTTGAAAGTCATCTGTTCGGATATGTTAATTCTCACTTGTGAGAGAACATAATTAATATTCCAATCACTTCATGGAAGTGACGCGTAAAAGTTGTCAAATCTGTGCGTAGTTGAATTCACATGATTTGCATGTAGTGAGGATATAAAAGCTCACTTATGATGAATTAAATTGTATATTTGAGCAAACAATCACGAGCTCTAACATGTTGGTTCTGAGAGTTAATTATACCAGACCAAGAGCTGGTTTCCAATTCATTTGGTTCTCAATTGGGTTCATTTAATTTTTTTTTAAAAAAATGAATGCTTTAATTCTAAAATTATAAAATTATACTGTATTAAATTGGATTCATGACTTTTCCACGTCTACGAAATCTAAACATGGTTTTGCCGCCATCCTACGTGGGACTTATCATCCACTTAATCAAAATCAAAACGGGAGAATGGCAAGTAGGTCATAAGGATATTAATTAATTTAAATTAAGTCTCAATCAATTTTAAAGTGTTAAATTTTAGAAATTTACAAGTTTAGCTCTGATCAATTTTATAATTTTATTATGATAAATTGGCAACTTGAGTTTCAAATTTTAATAGAAAAAATAAAATTGTTTATTTGTCAACTGTGTTAGAATTTAAAAAATAAGTTATAAATCCATCACAATAAAGTTGTAAAATTGAAAGTGAAATTTTCAAATCCTCAAAATTTCACACTTTGAAATTGATCTGATCTAATTTAAATTACTTAATCCTCTCAAGATTTATATGTCATTCTCCCATATCCAAACCGCACGATAGGACATGCGCCTTGTCTTTTTCCCTTTCCAAATATAAGATCCACACATTTTTTTGTCCTTTCTATTATCCAATCAATGACTTGCACTTTGTATAGAGTTTGTATTTTATATGTTGACTGCTGACTTCACATGGTGGTTGAAAGCTTCATTTCTCTGTCTTCCATACTGTGAGACCATTTTAATCAACGTACACCTGTAAAGAAAAGTGGGTGGTTAGTTAATTACAAAAGTATTTCAAACTTTGCTCCTTTTTAATACATATAATTATTTATCTGTTTAAATGATTGTTTTTTAAATAAGTAATTTGAATATACTCCTATAAACATCTTTGGCAAAAATATGCTTTATTGTATGTAAAATCCTACATCTTTTTATCAGAAATAAATAATTAACAACGGAGTACATAAAAACCTCTCCGTCCAGCTTGTCCGTAGCTGCATCCACTTGAGTTGTTAATGCATGTATAAAGTTTCTCTTTCTGCCGAAATTAAGATGAACTAAAGTATCAATCAAAAGCTCCGACATTTCGGTTTGAACTTGATTGAGGGGCTAATTACAATTAGAAATCTGTATCATTTGAAAATTCCTATGAGACCGAATGATTCAAACTGGAAGGCGCCTTCCTATGGAAGGCTGGAGGAACTGTTGAAGAAGCAGTTTAGTTCATCAGTCAATCATGTTCGAGTTGCTGTTATTGATGACACCATGAGTTATGAGCTGTACGATGCTGTTCGTGATGAGAATGGAGATGTAAGTAAATTTCTAGACGTCTTGGAGAGAGTATGCACGGAAAAACAACTTGATTGTTCCACCGTCTTAAATCAAGCCACTCCCACGGGTGATTCGTTGCTTCATGTTGCAGCTGAGCATGGAGCAATTAGTATCGCAGAGCTGCTTGTTGATAATAATTTTTTGCTAATTGTGACAAACAACAGAAAAGACACAGCGCTTCATGTTGCCGCTAGAGCTAAGAATATTGGGGTGATGAGAGTTATCTTGTCCAAATTTGATGATGCTAGCAGTAAGGATAACTTTATTATGTTACCCAATAAGGTTGTGCATACAGCTTTGCACGAAGCTATTCTTAGCAAATATTTTGAGGGGTTTGATTTCCTTTTAAGTGAGCAAAGTGACAGTACTTGGCCACTCTATTGGGACACTCACCCAACTGAGTCACCAATATACTTGGCAGTCCAAATTGGGGATGTTGCAATTCTTCGTCATCTCTTGCAGATTCCATTTCCATCAGACCGGGTCATTCATAAGAGCCGTGGAAACTCTCCACTTCATGCCGCCATATCAGAACGCAATATTGGTACGTGTGATGCCAAATTAACTGATCAATATGTTGTACTTTTCTGTTTGATCCACTTTCATTTATATATTAAACGTGTCTTCTTTTATGCGTAGCTTTTGTGAAGGAGATACTAGACAACAAAAAAGAGCTGAAGTTCCTCAAAGATGAAAATGAAAACACGCCCCTTCATTACGCAGCATACGCTGGTTATGTGGAAGGTGTTCGTGAACTTTTAAAGGAATCCACCCTTGTCCCATTATTTCAACGAAACTCACAAAATAATCTTCCAATTCACGTTGCTTGTGGTCAGGGCCATGTTCAGGTGGTTGAAGAATTGCTGCGCAAACAAGGACCTTGTACCAGTTTTTGGCTCAATAATGAAGGTTGAAACATTCTTCACGTTGCAGCAATGAGAGGACAAAACGAGATGGTAAAATACCTGTTGAACCACTCGAAGGTATCTTCAGAAAGTGTGAATGAGAAAGACTTAAATGGAGATACCCCGCTGCATCTGGCAGCAAGAAAGTTGTACCTTTGGACTCTATTCCATCTATCACGAGACAAAAGGATGAATGTGAACCTTGTAAATAACCGTGGCTTAACAGCTCATGATATTGTCGAATGGCAGAGTAAAATTCCAAAGACTCGTACAGAGGTATTATGTAGAAATATCTATATATCCATTATGTTTTATTAATATATTATTTACCAACAGGTTTTGATTTCATGTAAAATTGTACTTGTTTAATTTGATCATCTTGCAGTATTTTGCATCTAAGATTTTAAAATTTGCTGGTGCCTCGCTCAAAAAAAATAAGCCGAGAGAAAAACATGTAGACAATAAAGAATGGAATGTGAATGATGGGGCCAACACACTCATAATAGTGGCCGTACTGGTAGCCACAGTGACATTTGCAGCTGGTTTCACAGTACCAGGTGGGGTATACAATTCGGATGACGCAGTCCCTAAAGAAAGAGGCATGGCAGTGTTGACTTGTCAAACCCTGTTCAAAATATTTATGGCTTTCAACACAATTGCTATGTATTGCTCCACCATCGGTTCTATTATTCTTCTTTATAGGCATCTGGGTGATCGTCGATTTTCAGAGCGAACGTATTATATCTCCAGAGGTTTTGTCCAAGTGGCTCTTGTAACCATGCCAGTGGCGTTTATGGCTGCCATACGTTTGGTTGTCAGCAATAACTCCTTGCTTACGTATCTTACAAGTGTCATTGCAATCATCTTCATTTTCCTGGTACTATTTCTTCGCATTTTAGCATGGTTTCATCTTGGAATTCACATTCCTATATTACGTCGAGTTGGAGAACTTCTTCTTTGGATTATTATTATTTTATTTTATGGGGGTAAGGATAATATAGTTTATGATGCTGGTGAAATCCATCAAAACGATGAAGATATGGTACCCAACACAGTCAAAGCCACGCAAGAGATGAACCATATGTCACCTAGTGTCCTTTGTGCTGATGATCACCCTGGTATTGTACAACCTAGTCGAAGGCTTTCTAGTAATCAGGTAATTAATGCTTTGTTTTATAATGGATCCACCTCCTCATAGTATAAGATGGTATTGCAAAACTGCACTTGGTCAGAACAGCAGCAAGTAAGTGCGACGAGAGTTGAGCTTGCAGTTAATCTCAGTTCCATTACTGTGGACAGTGGAAAACTTTTTTTTTTTGTAACAGTTGAAGTTAATCAGAATTGATTGATAGTATATCTTTTACTATTTGGGCTTATATATGTTATAAGAGATTGATTGCTACTTTTTTATTATTGTAAATTGCAGAATATGCAATACGACGCGGATGCATGTGTCTCCAATTTCACCCAACTTTGAAGAGATGAGACAATTGAAGATATATATAAAATGTTAGTTATTTGGCTGAATGTTATATTGGTTTGATACATTACTGTTGTTCTGGTTTGAGAGTGATTAATATCTTTAGGAATTTTTCTTATTTATCATTTTAAAATTAAGTAGATACATTTTCTTGTGTAATTCTATAAATTATTAGGTCATGTTTGCTTACTAGAATAAAATAGAATGCGATAGATTGAAAAAATTGAGACAAAAATAAACTAAATCGCCCTTCTCCTCATGGTAAGCATTATAAAACTTATTAATATATAATACAAATGTAAAAATTATCAAACCCTCTAAAAATCTCAATAATCATGATTCTCAACCCCATGAGCTAAATTACTCCGCCCCTTTATGAATGAGCTCATCTATCTCCTTTGATCATCTTATTTTTTAAATTTATTTTTTTAATCTATTCCATTCCATTTTATTCTAGTAAGCAAAAGTGACCTTAATGAATCTTATTATGCATGACTTCTGGAGAATGTAATTTATATTTGATTTATTTTTAACAACTTTGCTTATTTGGTCAACATGACAAAATCTCATGTAGCAAAGAACTAAGTCATGTAAATTGTAAAGGGCAAATTTGATTATAATAATCAAGAATTATAGAAGAAAGAATCTGAAGCCTCACTCAATGTGAGTGGCACAACTGGCTAAAAGTACAAGAGTTAGTTACAACAGTGTACACATCATAGGTTCTATAGTATTCTGAACATGAATAAAGAATACTATAGAAAAATCCTATAATAATTACAACGGGATTTATGACTTCGACCGACTGCTAGCCTTTTGCTTTTTGGGCTTCTTATTAATCTTGGACTGCAGTATAGGTTGGTCATTTGTATTCTTAACATCCCCTCACAAATCAGAGGTAATTAACCTAAGTTTGTCACGTAAAAAGATAAAATGACAAGAGGATAATGGTTTTGTAAGTACATCAGCCAGCTGATGTTCAACTGGGATGAACCAAATAGTAATACGTTTACGCAACACCAAATCACTAACAAAATGAGTATCAATCTCTATGTGCTTTTGTATGAGCATGAAAAATAGGGTTTGAAGCTAAGGCAGATGCACTCAAGTTATCACACCAAATAATTGAAGGAGAAAAGAACACTAGACCAAGGTCTCCCATCAAAGATCGAAGCCACACAAGTTCAAATGTTGTGTGAGCTAGAGAACAGTACTGTGATTCAACACTCAAACGTGCGACCACCATCTGCTTCTTAGAGGACTAGGAAACCAATGCATTACTTAAGAAAACAAGATAGCCATCAGTAGATCATCAATCATCTAGGCATACAGCCCAGTCAGCATCTAAATAAGCCATTAAATCAAGATATTCAGATCCTTTAATATGAAGACCAACATGAAGTGTCCCTTGTAAATATCGCAATAAACGTTTAATCGCTTGCCAATGAAGAAGAGTTAGTGCAGATAAAAATTGACTTAACTTACTGACAACAAAGGAAATGTCAGGATGCATATAAGCCAAATATTATAGAGTACTATCAAACTTTGATAATGATTGTCTTGGTACCCTTGGAGTCTTACATGAAGAAGCTTTATTCATATGCCATCTACTAAGCAAGTTTAAAATATATTTACTCTAATTTAAATAGAAACCAAAGTCATCATAGGTAATCTCTATTCCAAGAAAATAGTGAATTGGGCCTATGTCTTTTAAAGAGAACATGTCATTCAACTTAGTAACAGACATCTGAATACTACTTGAATTATTTCCAGTAACAAGTATGTCATTGACATAAATAAGAATAAGAAGAACTTGATCTCCATTTTGAAAGAAAAACAAAGAAGTATCACTCTTACTATTATAAAATTCCCAAGACAGCAGTGTAGATCAAAGACAATCAAACCAAGCTCGTGGAGCTTATTTTAAACCATATAATGCTTTCCTAAGACGACAAACATGATTGGGTCTAGTAGAATCCACAAAACATATGGGTTGAGCCATGTAAACAGTCTCTGTAAGGACACCATTTCGAAATGCATTATTAATATCAAGTTGTCTGATATCCCAATGTTTTGAAACTGCAATTATAAGAATGATGCATACTATGGATGGCTTAATAACTAGACTATAAGTTTCATCAAATCTATCCCAAGTTCTTAAAGATAGCCTTTCACCCACGAGATGAGCTTTGTATCAATCTATAGTATTGTCTGGCTTGAACTTGGTCTTATACACCCAATGACACCTAACAACATTGAAAGTAGGATTAAAGGGAACTAAATCCATGGTATTATTTTTAAGTAAAGTAGCATACTCATCTGACATAGCTTGATGCTGGTAATCAAGTACAAGAACTTCTATTATTAAGCCTAGTTCAATACATAATCTCTTAGGATCATATTGAACAAGACCAACATGAGGCCTTTTTGGTTGAACGACACCATGCTTGTCACGTGTCATCATGGGATGATCATTCATAAATACAGCAAGAGACGATAAAGAATTATTAGTAGTTGGACTAGAGATAGAAGGCGGACTCCTAATAACAAGAGAGTCTCGAGTATTTAAACTATATTCAACCTCTGGACTAAGACTTGTTGACTTGAGGGATAGTAAGTGTTAGGCCTCAGGAACCAAGTCTGTATTGATATGGGCTAAACTAAAAATGACGTATAGAGATTTAGTATAAGGATGAGATACTTTGTTATCATGAAATGACATCATTGGTGTTAATGAAACAGTGCTGTCTTCGACATTACATGAAAAAGTCTATTGAGACTGTTTCAATTTGTCCAGGACAAAGATGAGGAAGCCATGCTTGAGACGAAGAACTAACATTTTGTTTTGGAGAAGAAGAAGATAATGCTATGGTGCCTGTATAAGGAAAGTCATTTTCATTAAAAACAACGTGCCAAGAGATGAAAACATGACTAGAGGGACTTAAATACTTAAATCACTTATGTGAAGGATTAAGACCCAAATATATACATCTCTCTGAATGAAACTCCATTTTATGTTTATTATATGGTCGTAGACATGGAAAACAAGCAGAGCCAAAAATCTTAAAACCACTATGGTTTGGTTTAGAACCAAATAAAACTTCAAACGAAGATTTCTAATCTAATACTAGAGTCGTTACCCTATTAATCACATAAATAGCATTCATAAATGCTTCCCACAAAAAATGTAAAGGCAATGAAGCTTGAGCTAACATTCTTAATCCCATTTCAACTTTGTGATGATGTTTTCTTTTCACACGTCCATTTTGTTCTGATGTATGAGGACAAGGGTGACGAAATACAATCCCAGAATCAGTCAAAATTGATGAAAAACTTTTAAACTATCCTCTCTAGTCGCTTTGAAGAGCTTTAATCTTTTTATCAAACTAATTTTCTATAAGTTTCTAAAATTGTAGAAAAGCTGAAAGAGCCTCTCCCTTAAAACGAAGAGGATACAGCCATGTAAAATGGCTAAAATCATCAACAAAACTAATATATTAATACTTAAATCCAGATTTTAAAGCAACATGATCTAGCCATCATAAATCAATAAACATTAAATCAAGTGGTGCTTTAGCTCTGGATTCAAAAGATTGGAAAGGTAACTTGTGCATTTTACTAAACTAACAAGCATTACAAAATTTAAAATTGTCTTTACTGTTAAAGGAGATATTACAACTTCGCAAAACTTCTTTAACAACTTTACACAATGTATGGCCTAAATGTCTATACCAAGTTTCTAAAGCAGCAAGCAAGGCTATGGGAGGTTTATTAGAAGCATCATAAACTTAAGGAATACCATCAATTTTATATAAGCCATCATACCATTTGCCTCTAAGAAGGACGCGTCCCGTTTTCAGTTCCTTCACATTACACATATCAGCAAAAAATTGAATAAGTATATCATTATCAAGAACAAGCTAAAAAACACTAATCAAATTTTTCTAGATTGAAGGCACCATAAGTATATCTTTCATTAATAGTTGAGTATTATCATAATTCAGAGTGTAAGTAGCATGACCAACTACTAAAAACCCAACACCATTACCAATTGTTAGTATACCTCCATTTAATTAAGAATTCATATCAGCGAGGACATTTTGATGTGTGACATGTAAGAAGCATACTATCTAAGTACCAAGCTAGGTCCTGAATTGTGTCTGAAGTAGTATAATAGGTAGTAATATTTGATGAAACACTATTATTATGATGGTTATGATCAAATCTATAAAAACAATTAGCAATGTCATGACCAGCACGAGTACAAAAATGACAAAATTTTCCATTACATGCATTACATCCTCATCCTTTGCTTCCGCATCCATGACCAGAACCACGCAACTAAGATCATAAACCTTGAGATCCTTAAGAATTACTAGAAGAAGAGCGATGAGTCCAAAAACTCAAATGAGCCAAAGCTATACCAACTAACTGAACACTATTTAGGTGTTCAAGATGACGTTCATAGTTCAATAAATAAAAATGCAAATCAATCCAGGAGAGGTTAGGTTTATCAAGTAGATGAACTACCATTGGAGTATACTCTACATCCAAACTTGCTAAAGTTTGCATAACAAGTTCAGATAAGGGAAATGGATACCTAAGTGTCATATGATCTGATAGGGTCTTCATTTTGATCAAATATTCTTTCATTTCATGGAGCCTTTCCTAGTACA